CTATGCGCCGGGCATGTCCCAGAGGAAGACGGCCCTGAAGCACACGAGCGGGTGGATGTATCAGCGATTGGAGGAGTGGAAGTGCTGAGAGGCAGTTTCAGTTAGCGTTTGCTCCTTTCAGCGCCATAGCATGTGGTGTCACTTACGAGCAAGATGATGGTTTCATATTGATTTCGGATTTGATAGAGGAGCGCCTGTGGTCTTTTTTTCTGGGCAAAATGTTTCATCTTGAGCTCATCTATTGATGCTTTCTTGGGCCGGGCGTCTCTTGGATATGGGATTCAAGGCAAGGCGTTGGATGCGCGATGGACGGCTGATATTTGCGAGGCTGGGTCGCGTTGCTTTCCTGCAAGGCATGAACACATTGATCCAACGGTTCCGTTGGATTCTATTTTAATCAAGCATGTTGCTATGTACTAGTATATGTTGAGGCGAGGATTCTTCCGCTGTGACTGAATGATGTTGTCCGACTTCAATGTTATCTTATCATGTTGACCGCCCAGGTCGGGGAGGGCAGTGACAATGGATGTACCTGCCCGATGAAATGAGCACTCTAGAGAAGGCTTCGTGCTTCTTGCCTCACGACCAAGGCACCAAAGTCAAGCCCTCCGATGCACTGAAGGTAATCAATCCTCTCGATTCCGTCATGACAAAAAGGCTGGTGACGGGGCTTGACTTAAGCTGATCCGTTGAACCTCCGCCAGAGTTTCTCAGCCTTCTTCCCTTTCCTCCTCCAGATACGAGCATCATCTCCTACAAGCATCTGGTGGCCACCATATTCTTTGCCTGCAGAAGCATGCAGTCAACCTCGGGGCGGTGATCCGCGCGATTCAACCGTTGATCTGTGCCAGATACTCTGGCTCAGTCATTGCCATTGCCGTGGCCGTTTCCCTCGCGAAACTTGAATGCGCTTTTCATGCCTCTTTGGACCAGCTGGAAGCTGCTTAGAGGTTTTCAGTGACTCTTGCTTGGCTCTCGAAATAACGCTTCACATGAGCGCTTACTCTCTTCTTGTTCCTCACACCATGGAGAGCTACAGCACAATCTAATACCTAAGCTAAACAGTAACGAGAGAAGCGGCCAGCCTGGAATTGAATCGGATTTACTCGAACATCTACACCGTCTTAAACGAACAAGCATTAGCAGATTCAAGGAGACTTATCATAGGGCGATCATATATGGAAGGATGATATTGCATAGTGAACATCAGTCCTTGGCTTGCTGACTTGAGATTTACTGACATTTTATGATAGCGTAACTATTGTTCCCGTGGAAGATAGATTTCATACGAAGACATATGTGCATATATGTGTGTGTGTCCTTTCTCGCCGGATGAACGAGACACAAACACTCCTTGTCCGCCAGACACACATAGAAATCATACTGCATGAGACTGGAAGGTCTTTTTGGCTGGACCTACGGCGCAGTGCTTATGGCTCCATATCGGACGAAACACTCAAAGGATGGCAATGCGCTATTTGCCAAGTTACCTCCAGAGGTAAATTACGCATATCCCGCTTTCAAGCTCCTAATTGCGTACTTTGAATTGCTTCTCAGAAGAGTACTAACACGCCCTCTCTTGTTCGTTTGCCGCAGATCCGCTGCAAGATATGGTCTCTTCTAGTCGTGAAGCCGAATGGTTCAGTCTTTCCAGTGCACATTCCAACGTATTCGGCAACGGAGACTTTCGTCTGCATGGACTGGACGCACAAGGCGACCAACGTGACGCTCCAACTGGAGGCCATCATGCAGACTTGCAAGCTATTCTATAAAGACCAGGAGACTCATATGCTCTTCTACAAGGTTCGTCAAATATCAAGCATCAGACTTTACTTCTACCATCATCAGGTATCATCTCATCAGACTGTATACTCACCATGTATTATGCAGCTCAATCGTTTCCAATTCCGCGGGAGCCGCGACTGTCTCACGTATGTCGCATCGATTACTCCCTCTCGACGACAAGCAATCCGCAGCATTACCATCTCCATGCATCCCATGCCTTATAAACTGGATGGCGCCAAAGGCAAGAAGCCGAGCGAACGTCTCCTCGCCATTGCCTCACTCTGCCCAGGCCTGCAGGTCTTCAAGAACCACAACCTCTTCTTTCAAGCAGACTCACTGACAGACTGGGCCTCTGTGCTCTCCCGATTCCTTGAGGCTTTTGTGTCCCAACTACCGCTGCTCAAGGAAATATCGTTCCGCGGTGGAAAAGGGGGCCGCGCGGTAGTTTCCGGCTCCTTGGCAGAGAGCCCAGAATTCTATTGGGAAACATTGGATCAGTTCGCGCACAGCTGGAGGAGAGAAAGCGTATCCTTCAGCATACGCGGTGAAGAGGCGCTGACCGCAGTATGGAATCTGCTACGCGATCGAAAGAGAGCGGTTAGTTTGCCATTGCACAAGAGTCACCTCAGAGCTGCCATTGGAAGCACGCCCATCCTAACGCTTGGTGAAAATCGCGGCATGCCTTGTGAAAGCAACAGAGGGATCAAACATAAAGATGACGGCATCTCAAGGGTACCCGTCAACATATTTGGTAGAGGAATTTCGATAAGGGGATTTCGGATCCCTTGTGATACGCGCTCCCCTCGGCTGTACATTGGCAAAACATGGTACGACTGGGATTCAATTTTCCATTCAAAAAGAATTTCTGAGGCTGAGAGCAAACGCTTCTTGGATGAGGTCCTGATAATGTTTGCCAAGAGATATAGACCGTGGGCGTGCGGCAAGCGTGCGAGCAAAGGGAGACGTCATGGGAATAGGAGAGCCCAGCAGATGATCAACGCCATATGGGAGCTGAATTGGCAGGACAGGGAAGCCAAACTGAAGGTATTGAAGAGGCTATATAAGGCGTCACGCACTGGATGGCGTGGACGTGGATATTACATTTGAGGCTTCTCTTCAGAAGTCTTTCCATTGCTTAGCTAGCAAGACTAGATGACTGGACACTTGCTTAACTAGATAGCCCCTTAAAGGGGACCACAACTCCTACCCAGGTAGTCAGACCCTAAAAATGATCTTTGTTGACAAAAAGGCATCTTCATTTTTCTTCCTCTGTATTACTCTACATATTCAGACTCAACGTGTCAAACCATTTGCAATTCTGAGAAGATGCTCTCCACCCATCACGTCTCATCAAAATTCTAGCCTCGCCACATGTTCCCTTTCTCTCCTATCCTCGACCCTGCAGGACGTGTCCCCCCACGCACGCAAATAGAGGCCAAGGCATCTTGTGAGATAATCCTCCCACTATCAAGGCTCATATATCTTCGTCGCCCGAAGATCCAACTCACCACATG